CATGCACAAACATACCATTTGGCTTAAATCCATTAATTAATTTCATTAATTGAAAAATATTCAAAGATACTCTTAAACATGGAAAAATTGATGTAGAAAAAACAGATTGAAATACTATCTCAAAGTACCTTGGGGGAAAGTGAGTTCAATGCACGCAAATGACAGCAATTGAATATGTGAAATCACACTACCGACTTAAATCATCTGTCATCCCTGCACATGAATACTCTTACATAAGGTTAAGACACTTTTCAATTTACCTTATTCACCATTTTACTTATTTATCATTTTTACTTCAAGACTGATCTCATTTTCTAAATTGTAGGAAAAAAAGACACTAAACATACATAAGTATTTTCTACAGTGGATTTATGATTTGACATTTCACAGCATGGACACACAGCTCTGCACCTATGCAAGCTGAAGAAATACTTGTTTCAAACCAAATGATTGCCTACAGATTTCTGTATTAATTTAAATATACCTGCATTAAAGTATTGGGTAATATTAAAAAAATGGGCCTAATAATGTTGCATTTCTGAAATTATGAAAAGAATTCCAAGTGAGCTTTAAAACAAAATTAATGCATCCAAACCAGAAAATTTTACTGAAATTCATAAAAAGGGAACTATTGTGAAAACATAAATGCTGTGATTGCAGATTTCAAGAGTTCAGTGTAGGTATAAGAAAATAAAAAGTCTGCCATCACAGACTCTTCTTTCTGGGAGCAGAAGCACCCAAGCACCTTTCTGACAGCAGAATACATCTTCCCCATAAAGTTTTCAAACTGACACTGTCTACCACAGGTCTTAGGTTACCCAGGACACAAGGAAGCCCTCTAGATGTAATCAAGGAAAATAAACATCTGCATAAGGGAGAAAAACAAGAAGTATCCAGCACGTTCTTTCATTCTTAAGACTCTTAAAAATAAAACAAACATCCATACAACAATTTCAAACTAAAAAAATATCACCTTAATTTATAAATCTTCCATTTAGTATAAAGATCACTGTATGTTAATGGGATTGTGTCCTGTACCTTCTGGGGTTTTTTTAAGGCTTTTGGAGGTTCTCCTCTTGCACAGACCAAATGTGTCAGTTAAAACACAGTTATGCTGACACACACAAAATTCTTATTGTGTCTCAAATTTGCAGTAGTCTCAAAGGGTAAATTTTACATATGTTTTATATCACAGTTAAATATAAATATTGCTCAGGTGAATTAAGTCCATATCTATGATTTAGCCTACATCTTACAGCATTTGCAATTTTAAAGGACAAAACCTTTTATGGCTACGTTTTTACTCATAAAAAATTTAAGTTCTCCAATTAAAATATTTTCCCTGTGGATATGGTAATTTTTAGTTGATACACATGAAAAGAGCTATGGTGATATGTTGACAGGCACCTGAAAGACAGCCAGCCAGTAGTCCTTCATAAATAAGAGAAGAAATTATTTTACAGTGGTAATATAGGAAAATATCCATAGAAAAGGAATACTTGGTTATACCCACTTAGAATCACTGCAAATCTGACTGTCACAGTACAATGATGAAATTGTTTTCATTTTCTGTAACATTTTAAAATGCTGCTGCTAAGCATCAAGGAGGCACATGAGGTGCAATTGTTCTTATTGACCCCTGTTTTGAGCGTTTGATATAAACCTACCATATTCAGCCTCTGCAAGTGTTAAACATAGCTCTAAGTACTGGAAGTTTAATGACAGGCAAAGCAGATCCACCCCAAAACTGTATAGGAGCCTGACTGGGAAAAAAAAATCTTACAAAAATAAAACTTATAGTAGCAATTTTTACTGGCTGTTGTTTCAGTTAGATATTCATATATTATTTGTCGCAAAAATACATTCAAATTCCTACATTGTTTTTTTTTAAATGAACTTTAACTGGATGATTAGATGAAACTGATGGTAAGAATTAAAACTGGGGAAAAAAACAGCATTGGTACAAGTTAAGTACAGATGTTTACATAATAGAGGTGGAAGAAAAAAGAAGCTCTCAGTTTTCATTGAATGCATTTTAAAAAAACCTTTTGTAAAATCATCTCCTATTCCAAATTCATTCACATAAATTATTCCCTGTAGTTGTACATCTGAAAATCAGATCACTTGAAATACTGTGAAGTCTCTTTATAAAAATATGAGCAATTAAGCCAATAATTAGGGCTTCAACTTTTTTGTCCCTCATGGCATGGATGGATTGTTTTTGCTTTAGATGGGACAAAAGGTCAAATGATTTGTGTTGGGCACTTCTATTTTTTGTAGGTTTCACCATTGAAGGTTTGTGCAATCTGTATTTGTCATTCATTCTACATGCCAATAAAAGCCTGATGAGAATTTCAGAATTTCAATCATATAGAAAGCAATAAAGGTTAAAACTGGCCTTTTTATGGTACTACTGATATGAGTATGAATTTCTTACACCTACTTTCATAACCACAGGACAATTCCCTCTCAAAGGATTGTTAGTACAGATAATCCATTTTTGTCCTGGTTTGAGTAGTCTGCAAATGATCTTGATTTTTAGCGAGGCCACCTAGATGCATTTTTTAACTATAGGTGCTCCAAAAACTCTTCAGTTTCTTTTTTTATGCAGTTACATTATAGTAGATGGAAAATCCTTCCTATTAGCAATCCAGACCTTGTTTTTAGTACAAGACAAACATTTCCTTACTCTTTTTCTACACAAAACTTAGTAACAAGAACATCCACTATTCATTGAATGAAAAATTCATTCACACAATTCTTTCCAAAGATTAGCACATGTACAAAAACACAATTGGGTAAAAGTCATTATTGAAAGGCAGGGACAAAAACAGTACAAAACCACAGATGTTTCAATCCAGCCAAGAATCAATCCATTGCCACTGCAGTTCCCAACACCTTCACATTCAGACCTGCATTCCCTATCACAGTGGATGTAGGGCTGTTACTGACTTGTGACCTTCAGCCTCATAATCCCTCCCAATTTACCAGGTCAACAGACTCCTGCACCCCATTTTTCCCACCCCAATCCCTGTATTACCAGCTGAAGCAGCCCTGTTTGTGTCTAACCCAAATCCCTCTTTCCAAACTTGTATCCCTCTCCCTTTGTCTCAGCGTGGCTTTTCTGGCTTTCAGAAAAAACAAAGCTATAACCTGGGAAGGTGAAAAGGGAAAAACCCTTCTCCAGTAAACGCTGCATGTCCTCAGCAGGTCCATGCCCTCAGAAAGGAACTGCTGTTTTTTCAAGAGACCACAGACAGGTCCTAGCAGGAAGATGTCTCCTGAGCACATAGCAACTGGGGAAACAGCAGATACCTACATCACCACATATGCATGCAAAAGGAAGTAATGATGGTACCAGACACAGCTCTCACTTTTAATCGCCTGATGTCCATGGAATTCAATACTTCATCCGAGTAGTCCCCCAAAATATGTCGCACCACAGGATTTCTGAGCATTATTTTACAGCAGAAGAACAAACAGCTGACTTCTCCTAGACTTCTATATGTTTCTGCACTCCGAAACAGCATCTCTACTCTGAAGCTGTCTAAAGGCCTCCCCATTGATCTATCCAACCCGTGTGAGGACAAAACAGACATTGACATCTCTGAGGCCACAAAGGGGGAACCCACTCTGAGCCCAGAGCTGCAGTTTAACATTACAGCTTCAGCCCACTTGGCAGCTGGCCATTGCCAGGAATGGGGACACTGAACCCTCCGTTCCCATCTTCTCTATTTCTGGCCTACAGTCATCTCCTCACATTACAGGCACACTCAGCTTCCAAACCAGTTGAGCAAACTTTACTATATCCTAAAGATTTTAAGAATGCCTTTCAAATAGGAGGAGAAAAAACAAATGTAAGTATATAGAAAACTCGTGACTCAACGAAACTAAAGTTAACCTGCTTTAGAACCTTTAAAGGAATGTCCTCTTGTGAGGGCAAAATACATATACGGGTCAACTTACCCAACAAATTCCTGTTGCATAGCTATTTGTGAAGCTGCTTATTTCCCTGAAAATGTGTTTCAAAACTGGGCAGAAAACTCTCACAATATCTCTTAGGTGAGCTGAAGCAGGCCTTGCTACAAACATACATAGTCCTTTATCCATACTGTACCATCTGACATTACACTATGAGTTTCAGAATAAAGACAGAACACAATGTTTAAGGAATTAGTTAATGTACAGAATGTGTCCACAGTGTGAAACTCCGTATTTTTGGAAAAGCTGACAACCGCCCTTCACAGTATTCCTAACTGAAGAAACAAATCTATAGTTCAGCAATTTCAGTAAATCCCTACTTCCACAATTTAATGGTAATAATGGATTTAAGTGAAAATAAAGGCCTCACTGGATGCTTGTCTTCATAAACCAAGATATTTGCACAGAAATGGATAACCGTACCCCTGTGATAATGTAACTAGTTTGAGACTGCTGGCAAACAAAGTTAATAGGCAGCTGAAGTCTCTCCTTTTTCCTCCTCCTCCTCAAAATTTCTAAACCAGAAAACTAAATCAATCCCTTAACTCTTCCAGTACAGTTCTTAAAATCCAGAGTGAAGCTTTTGGCTTTCATTCCAGTAGTTATTCCCAAAACACAGCTGCAAAGTATAAAAATCAATTAATAATATTTTGATACAAGACAGCTCATCCAGACACTACACAGGACAGATTTACTATTCTCATCATTAAATAAAACATTCAGAAACCTCCAGAGACTTGTTTTTCACAAATGTTGACAGAGACAAGTACTGCTTTTATCATCACTGTCTAAGCTTATAATAGAAGTATACTATTCATTTCAAATGACCAAAGGAAAAAAAAGTAGCTTCCCTGAGCATCGATCAGTACTCTCAATTATGAATCATAAAAACCATACTAAGTACAAAAAGCATCCAGTTTTTAAACATTTCAGACTTCTCTTCACACCCACATTACTATTAATGCATTCCACTAATTTATGTTTTGAATTTTATGTTCATAGAAAAGACCTCTACTTACCGAAAAATGGTTCCTCTTGAAAATACCACAGGCATTTGAAGAAGGACACAGGTAATCTCTCTTCAAAGAAGCAGCAGCTAGTAAAACAGAAACAAAATTTAACAAAACATACAGACAAAATACTCTTGTTCAGAGTTAACTAATTCAAGACCAAAATAGCCAACGAGTTGGAGAATTATATTCCTGAAAAAAAGAACGTTCCATTGAGAGCACCTGCCACAAAATCTCAGCAGTATCAAACTGCAGTACTTTTCTAGAAGAATGGTCCAGGCCATCCAGTTTTGAACCCAAACAAGTAATTCCTCAGAACCTCCTTTTGTTATTCATTGCTGCTTATAAATCGACTCCTCTCACCCCTCCTTGTCCCAGTGTGTAGCTTCTTTTTCTCTTAAACAGTCTCTGGCTTTTACAGTCTTTGCTCCTCTCCTCTGAGAGCTTGCCCTCTGTGTCCCAGCCTAGCATCTTCTCCTTCCTTTCCGTTCTTCAGCCCGCTGGTATTTGAATCACAGCTGTTTCCTCCCTCCCCTCGGCCCTGGATGCCAGTACCGGCGGTACTGTCAGTAGGGAACAGATTGTCCCTGCACTCCCGTTCTGGAGAGCCACAGCGCCAGGAGGCTGCTACTGCAGAGGGAAGCTGTGCGGGAACACGCGCTCGGCCACGGGGGAAAGCTCAGGTGCCTCACCAGACCCTGACAAGTCCCGCCAGTGTTATCAACTGGGAGTGAGGCAAAACTTCACCAAACTTAGCTACCAGAACAGTAAACCTAAAATGAGTGTGGAAAATCTGTCCAAGCTAAAAATCTTTGACAACAAAAGTTTGAATTGGGACAGCTCCTTCACAGTACAACAACCTCTCTCTAACTTCCAGGTGATGGGACTGCTAAGAGCTATTCACCTAAACTTCAGAGTAAGCTAAAAAAAATACTGGGCATTTTTCCTGCACTGCAAATCCCAAAGTTGACTAATGAGTCAAGATATTGAGACTAACATTTCCAGAATGGTCGTTAAGGCAAACCATCAGCCTGTGCAGACTTGACTTACAACAGTAAGCTACAAACCTCAGAAAATTTAAGACTGATAAGCAATTCTTGCCTTTGGCTCCACAGGGAACAAGGCTGTAGGCAGTCAATGTAAAATATGCTACCTCCATAAGGCAGTGTCACTAAGAAAAGGATAAATTCTAGGCAGTAAAACATCCCAACACAAATCACAACACAACAGCTTCAAAAGTTAACTGCAGGACAGTTTTTGCAAATGCATCAGAACCTGTACTGCAACACAAGCCACCATGAAATATTTGATTTATCTGAACTAAGAAAAACACCTAAGAGATGCCTTCAGTCTTTAACAAGGCAATGCAAGTGCACATGCTGTGCATTGCAGTTCACGCACCCATCCTCTCCCACTATTCCCTGGTGAAACACCCTGAAACAACCATCAAATCAGCAGATGGGGAAAGCCTGGATCACCCCTTCCGAAAGTACATCAGTTTAAAAAAATTCAGTGAATTAACATGCAGACCAAGCTCAATTACTTTTTTTTATTTTTTTTAAATTTTTTTTCCATTTACAACTTCTATTGTGTAAACTGCCTACTTTATCCTGCAGTGCTTTCGGTTTTGGTTTTTAATTTTAAATTTGCTTGCGATTTTCAAGGAAACAGAACAACCAACAACTACAATTTCAGTAGCACACTTAATCATTTAAACAGCTGTTCATAAGTGAGATTACTTCCATTAACAATGGGAAAAAACAAATAGAAAAGAAAAACCAACCTTTACTGAAAAGTGAAACTTTTTCCTAAGATTAGAAACAGAATTCTATTGATTTAGGTCTAGCAATTATTATTTTTAGCAAATATCCTTAAATTCTCTTTCCCATCATAACAGGCAAACTAATGTAAAACTCTGGTGCAGAACCACACTGTCAGTCCTCCAGCCATTTGGAACTATTTTCTACTTGTTTTGCACTTAAAATGCCTTCCCAGACATGATAGATTAAACAGAAGCCCATGTGTCAAGCAGAAGCTATCACAAAACCTACATGGAAAAAAACCACTAAACCAGATTGAATTTGCATCTGTTTGTCTTCCATTCCTCTTTAATGTCTTGAATTTACCAGTACAGTCTATTTCATAGAACTAAACAAAGGAAGAGGTACAGTACTTTACTTTGGAGCTGGGTTTTTGAGTGTTCGATTTGAGCTGTGTAATTGGCAGCACCAGTAAAGGATGTTCAGTGCTGGTTCAGTAATTCACTAAGAAATTCATCAAATAGCCACCATTTAGAAAGCGTCATTAGTGATTTCTGCATCAGCTCTGCTGTCCACAGCTTCAGCTCTCAGCACATGTAGCTGTGTTGTGGTCATTTAAACAGACATTTTCAAGCAGGGTCCTTCACTAAGTGGTTCCAGCCAGGAACAGGGGGAGACTTACCAGCAAGGCAGTGCCAAGGCCCATGTTACAGGGTACATTTATAAGATACAAAGCAATAATTCTTTGTTCCTGAAGCTACAGCTAGTCTGCTCAAATGACAGATATAGTACAACAAAAATAGTCATAAAAGCCATTCATTTGTACGGTGCTTTATATCTTTGCACGCCAAGAACCTCCTCTGTGCTCTTTTATACTGTTCTGACTAAGGCAAGAAGACCTTTAAGTCAGTCCTAGTCTTGCCCAGATAGGAACTGCAGAAAAACACCATACATGCAAGTAGGTGGTTAGCAATACCAATAGAGAATTAGCTATTCCCTCCAAGTCTTCCTGAGTGAAATACCAGTCCAGCAGAGCTCTGCAAGGTGTCTCTGGAGGCGGTGGGCTACAAATCACACTCACAATACAACACAGGACAAGCATTATCTCTTTAATTCTGAGAAATATCAACACTGCTCTCCAGTTCATTAAGAATGAGTTACTTAATGGCAGCTTTTCAATAGCATGCTGGGTTGGACAGCCCACACATTGATTCTGGATCTTACCCAGGCTGCCAAAGCCTGCAGAGATGACTAAAATTGTGGTGGCACATACCATTGCCAGCCAATTTTAGAATCTGGTCTAGAAAATGAGGGACTCCAATATTCTCAGGCTCTACAAGGAAAAGGCCAGAAAGTTAGCAAAGTAACACTCAAAATAACTTCTCCTTAAAAAAAACTCAATCTGATGTTTTAATTAGAACAATTAATGCATAGATTAAGCCAGCTACTTACAATAATGTACACTAGGATATATAAAAGAACTAATCTAAATTATTTCTAAGGTATTACTGATTTACTTTGAGGACCAGTAAAAGACACGGATCCCAGAGCAATATGAAACAGGGTATATGTCTCATAAAAATAGTAGGGAAGTGGGAAATTATTTTAGTGGCAAGAAAAACAATGTAATTCTGATGGTTAGAAAGATTTGGATATATTGCTGGGGAAAAGAGGAGGGATTTAAGTTATGGGACAATGATAACTGATGGTCAGGAAACCGCAAAACAATATTATGTTCTCTCTTCAGTAGGTGTCACTTTTAAAAGTTCAACTACTGTTCAACATAACCTGGAGACTATAAATGCAAAGTTATTACTGTAGATAAGGGTAATTACTGGAAAATTCACTTTTAGAAAACCAGTGGCTCAGTATAAAAAAACATAAACCAAAAAAGAAAGGATTTGGGGCTGGTCCAGCTAGAACTTGACCTGCAGCAGATTGCATTTGGTTTATTAATTCTGGTGACCAAACACGGGTCCCCTTGAAGAATCTGCAATGACACCAAACTAGGGAGGTGGTGGAGAGGGGAAAGGGAGCAGAAGTTGCAAGGAATATGAAGGAGATGATCCTGATTCCAAGTGAGCTTAAGAAACCAGGGATTCTAAAACACACTTGATAACATCCATGCAAGTGAGAGCAAAACAAAACACCGTAACTCTGAAAAATATAATTAAATTAATAACCTACAAACATCCAGCAGCCGCCATACTAACAGTAATAAAGTAGAAAATAAAAGCTAAACAGGATCACAGACTAAAGAGTCATAAACCTGATACTCATCTTGAAAGCCAAATATAATTTGAGAAGGTGATAAGACTACTGAGTACATGAGGTAAAGCTGTTTCAAGTCTAGTCAACACCATTGTCCTAGCATTGAAATACCACATACATCATTCTTGTGTATTCTACAGAACAAACCCTAAAAATCTACTTCTAAGATTACTAAAAAGAGATTGATAACAAATGGAAGAAAAAAGTCTTCAACTTCTTTAGTTATTTGACTTTCCAAGGGGTGTCTTATCTACAGTAAATGAAAAAAAAGGCAGTCTATGTATGAATTAATTTTTATGACTTATTTTATATGACAATGTACATGGAAAGATTTCTCCTCCCCTTCACCTTCCCTCCACAAATAGAAAAATTCCTTTCAAGTTCAGTCTCCTCTTTTCTTGGTCTTCTTATAACATTAACACGTAATTTTAAAAATAGAATTAATTTCATACTCAACAGTACTACTGGTATTTGTACTAATTCTACTTGGCAATTCACACTTTGCAATTTATTTTTAATACAGTTCGAATTTTAAAACAAGGTTCAATGTGAGGATTTTTTCCTTCTAGACAGCAGTTGCATTCTCCAGCTGGTATCATACACTGTGTTTACACCATTAATGTAAAACAATTTAGACTTTACCAACAGTTGTGTATGCACACACTTATTTTGGCTCTGTCACACATGCATTTCAGCTCTGAGTTTATTTTTCAGCTGTCCAGTGAAACAGCAGTAAAATTCTAACTCATACTTGACCAAAATCAGTACTTACTTAGATCAGACAAGCTCTGAGCAATTACTACAGCTGCAGTGTCAACAGCACATACCAAAATATGACACCACCTTTCAGATTTTCAGAAACTCTTGTTTAGATTTTAGATGACCACCATGTCAGTGCCTTCAGCAACATTTTTTTCTGCCAGAAATTTAAGAATAGTACATTATTCACATATGCACATTAATTTCTATGAATCCATGTATTGAAACTGAATGGCAAAGACACACACACTTACAGCAGACAGAAAGCCACCAACAGGCAGCATTCCTCTTTTCCT